TCTGTCCTTTTAAATGGAAATTAAATCATTTTGTCTAATAAATAAAAATGATATTCAACTTAAAGAATTTCTATTCTGCTAGATCCTCTCTCTTGTTCACGCATACTCCTTTAGGCAATAATGTGCTGAATGCTGAATATTTTTATATACAAATTTGTATGTATTTGATTTTCCAGGCTATTAAAACCAGATATTACAATACAAAATTCATAACTACTTAAAGTTACTAGTTAGAGGTACAATAAGGATCTCAATGTCTGTTTTCTATTTAGTCAATAACAAACTGGCTTCCATCCCACTGCCATTAAATTGTATAGTTTATGAACATGTAATAAAACACTACTGATACACATAATTTTTTGATGCACTTTAACTGTTCATTTTAAGACAAATTTGGGGAACATATTTACTGAATTACATCCCCCCCTTACTATATATAGACAGCAAGGTTAACCTACCATTGTGGTTTCTTTACTTCACTTGGTATTTATTCATTATACTTTTTAGAAACACATGTAATCATATTTCAGTGAAGGAATACCAAGGCTAAACTTTGGCTCAATTTTAATGATCTGTATCCTAAAATTTGAAGCGTTAACAATAACAGGATAATCTCATGTTTAATTTGATGAGCAATGAATAGCCTCAGTGAAAGTACACATTATTGTATAACTTAAGCATATGTAAGTATTTGCACGATCAGTGCCTAATTTTATATCATGACTGCACAGTATATTCTCTTTTATTTAGCTTACTAGGAACATTTAATCCCAACTATCTTAAAAATGCATCTCCTCGGAGAAGGTGTATTAGCATATGCAAGTTACATATACTAAATTGAAGGACACTGGAACATCCTACAAGTTTCAATCAGCATAAGTAAGATTTTAGAATACATACAGTTACTTACTGAATGAAAAAAGCATTTAAAAAGATAGCGGCAGAAATTAAAGGAATCTAAATATGGGTCTGTTTCTGCTCTTATCAGAATTTCACTGGTGCAAGTCCACTGTGAAACAGACTTGGAGTTATTTATGACTTACAAAAATGTGAGATCAGAATCCAGGCCCTAGGTCTTGTAATTCACAGTACCTCAAGTGAAACATCTACTAACACCGTTTCATCAGTTCATTGCTATGGTATGGTTCACAGTCTAAGGAGGCTAACACTTTCACTACGATTATTAGAATTTAATTTTTTTAACCTGTGCTGCATATATTTATTTTTCTTTTTAAAAGCAGAGTTGGTATTGTTCAGACACATGGTCTGTCTTCCATATTGTACTGTTTCACTGGACTGTGTATAGGAGGTATCTTGGTTAAAAGCATACACCAGGAACTTCTATGGGATCCACATCATCCTTATGATTTATCCTCATTGTGTGGGGCCAGGTTTCATATACCAACTTTTGTTATATGGTTTTAGCATGTGGAATCAGGATTTAGCTCTCAGGATTTAGTCTGTCCATTGTGTATACCTACATAACATGGACTTGTACTCCTCAATTGTGTTCATATATTTTCAGGTATCAGGTTCAAAATTTGGCAAGCATATTCCAAAGGCAGGAGCACATTTGGTATTATTAACTGCTACATTGTATTTTCTTACATTTCATACTGTATAAGACACATCATAATAGTCGAATAGTAAGAAAAAATGTGAGCAGGCAAACAATGGGCTACAAAATCTACATGAGACACAATACTCTTAGGTTGATATATAAAAGTGTAAATATTTACTATGAAACCCGACAGTTGTATCTTTACTTTTGAAACTTATACCAGTTGCTATTGACTTCCACATGTGTGCACAGTAGTCTACAATAATTCCACTGGCCCAGAAATAATTAGGAGAATGACTTTGGGCCACCAGAGTTCTAAGAAACACCTACATTTTCACAATCCACATGCCAGCATATGGAAAGAATTTCATTCTTTTATACTCGTTTGGAAAAGATATATTTTACAACACCACCTGGTAGCTATTGGAGGCTCTAGGTAAGATGATTGAAGTGCGGAAGAGC